TGCATCCACATTGGGAGCACTTTATTGGTATACAAGGACAGCTACGCTGGCAAAGCACTTCTTGTGTAGACCTGGCATGAAGCCACTTTACATCTGAACGCAAGCAACCACATAGTGGTTTAATAACGTGCTTGTGCTTTCACTTTCACATCGGGGAGGGGAGTGCGTGCAGGGGGGGGGGGAATAGCTCAGTGGTTTAAGCATTGGCCTGCTAAACCCAGGGTTGTTCAATCCTTGAAGGGGCCATTTAGGGATTGGTCCTGCTTTGAGCAGGGGGTTGGACTAGATGATCTCCTGAGGTCCCTTCCAACCCTGATAGTCTATGATCTTAACTTTCCTGAGTGACACTGTGTGGACATTTCCTTCATGAAATGTGCCTTTGGATGTTCACTTGAAGACTGGTTTTGATTTTGCAGAGTAGCAATATTTTAAACACTCATGCAACACTCCAAGCAAAGTCAGGTATACAGAGTACATGCATGCATAAGTTATCTACAGTCAAACGCTTACCAAACATCTGTAGCAAATGAAGTGTTTAACAGGAACCCTGCCTCGTTCTCTGTGTATCTTGTAAGAGTGCAACAGGCCATACAATATTTCATAAAATGTAAACATTATTCCAATATATGAAGCTACACAGCCTGATGCACATGTTAACATACAATAAGTGAGGCAGGGCTCTCCTTGTCTTGACTTATTCATGATGGATGTATAGAGAGCACGGAGTCCATAGGAGCTCTTGCCTTATGCACTGCACATATTGTATATATGGTATAAACTGTGGTTTACAGCACTAAAAGACACTACATGTAGCTAAACGTGTGGAAAAAAGTATGGTTATATGGGAAATAGTATGTGATCATATAATTGGAGACTACACCACAATGCACACCCACAGTGTTGAGGTTTGAGGGCAAATATAATTTGGTGTTTCCTGACTTGAGAGCATCACTGTAGACCCTTTTCTTTCTCTTTTATTTTTGGTTGGTTGGTTAGTTTTTATTCCCAACCCTATGCTGGGTTAAATGTAAAATTCTAGTGTATTCAGGAGATGAATTACATCTAGACTTCAAAGGAATTATTTCCCAGAATCAGGCCTTTAAAAATGAATGTAAAGGTTTTTAAAACATGAGCCACTATAATGCTGGAGCAGTATGTTGATGAATTAGTGCACAAGCTGAAGTTACAGCTGATGTAAAGGTGAACACAATCAGCCATGAGGTCAGATAATAAATGTTTTGTATAAGCAAACCACTAAAAACACACATGATTGCAGTCACCTTAATACCTAAAATATTCTCACTGAACTGAAAACCTGGCAGGAGAAGTGATAAGACAGTTCTGGTTGGAACAGCAGTAAGACGGCTGTATTAAAATAAAAAAAAGAACGGTAAGCGCTGCCCCCAGTAAATTAGAGTCAGTAGTCAAGAATTGATGATGGAGGCCATAATGGGTGAAACAAGGAACAAAGGAGATTACAAGATTAGTATGTCCAAAGGTGCATCTTCCTACATACTGAAAGTGAAATTACCAGTAGTTATAAGAAACAAATCAGGGACCCTGCATGAATGAAGTCTTTTGAGTCTAATACTCTTGTCTTGTAACTGAAGACTTAAATCCCCCTTTGAATATATTATACAAGAAAATACTGGTTGAATGATTTAGACTGTATTTTGTCCCACAAACCGTACAGAGTGGCTCCAAAACAAGATCTTGGCCACAAAATACTCATATGCACCCTCTTTACAAAAAGGGAACCTGAGTTACTGGAACCGCCTTCCTAACTTCCAAAAGTAGGAAAGGACTAGACCTACCCGCAAAGCAACCAGTCTCAAGGAGCAAAGATTACTGCCCTAGCCAATGTCAGACATGGCGGGAGAGGGGGGAACGACACCGACTGCAAAAGGTAAACACACCCTTCTCATGTGTAAGGGCTGTTGCATTACCCACTATCAGCCCCTCTTCCTGAGTGCATTGGGGATCCTGCCTCCTGTCACATGGGTGCAATACCCACTCGTGCAGTTCATGCAACACATGCTTTTGCTTTTGGCTGCTTCTGAACCCACCCATCCTTTCTCCATTCCTTGGAAGGGGAAGAGTCAGAGCCCAGACCTGTCCCCATGGTTCACTCCAAAGAACCACAGAACTTGCTCAAGATAGGGGGGAAAAAAAAGATCCTTCAGGTGTCACCTCACATTAAAAGCAGTGGTTACAGGCCAGGGGCATAAGTCCTCCACTCACCCCCTAATGCCAGCAACCAAGCTCACTTCTAGAATGAAGGAATAAGTCCCTCCAGACTCACTCTTTCCCCTGGACTGGGAGTGGTGATGAGGGACAGCACCCTTCTCCCTTGGGGGCAGCGAGGAGAGACGCCTTCGAGTGCTCTCCCCTGGATTGGCAGGGGTGTCAGCCACGTCCCATTGGAATGGGGAACAACCCCCTTTCTTTTCCCCATCCCTGAACTGGGGGACCAGGCAGGGATCCTGCTCCCCAGAGGGGTTGGCGAGCAGCCCCTTTCCCCATCCCTGGATAGGAGAAAAGGGGTCAGGCAAGGAATCTACTCCCCAGAAGGGTGGCAGATCAGCCCCTTTACCCATCCCCGGATAGGGGAGTGGGGGGGGAAATCAGGCAAGGATCCTGCTCCCCAGAAGGGTGGGCAAATGGCTCCTTTCCCGAGCCCTGGATAGAAGAGGGGGTCACAGGCAGGGATCCTGCTCCCCAGAGGGGTTGGCGAGCAGCCCCTTTCCCCATCCCTGGATAGGAGAAAAGGGGTCAGGCAAGGAATCTACTCCCCAGAAGGGTGGGCAAATGGCTCCTTT